GGGTGGAAGGAACTTTGGAGATCATTTATTCAATTCTTCTGCTCAAACTGGAACCCCTATTGTTAGGAATATAATCTAACAGTTGGGTTGGCAATATATAAACCATGTAATAATACTATACCTGTTTCTTTAAATCATACTGTAAAATGGGATTGTTTGCTGTTTTCCTCAATCGGCCATAAGAGGGAGCCAAAATGTTAGCTCTCTGTTTTGTTAGATGCTGGGCTGATCTGATCTGAGTGTTTTGGAAGCTGGCAGTTAGAAAGTGCCATGAGCTATTGTAAGTTTTGCAACTCCTATCAAACTTTGATTACCGAGACTGATTGTATGATTATGGACTATGTTATTTGGATTAGCCCTTAACTGAAAGACATTGCTGACTGACTGTCTTATCCGTGTATGACTTAGACTATTTGATGGACTCTGATACCTCTATTTCCACGAAAGTAAAAGCCTATTTAAACTTCAGTGTCTCTGTATGCTGGTTTGTGTGTTCTCCAACACAACTCTCACAACGCTTCTCTGAAAGCACTCGCTCTCCCAACGGGGAGCTTACCTAACACCTATACTATTTCAGACAAATGATTGTCCAATCTTTTCTTTAAAACCTCCATTGATAGAACACCCATAACCTCTTAAGGCAAAGTATTTCAGCGACTAATTGTTCTAACTGACAGGACATTTCTCTTTAGTTCTAGCTTGGTTAGTGTAAGAACTGTTATCTACTTCCTGTAAAAACAAAGAGAAATAAATATTAAGGTATAACGTTGGTATTCGTATAAGATATGTCTTTTAAAAAAAGAGAGACTAGCAAAATAACATATTTCTCTCTACTTGTAGTTTTGTTTGATCTGCCCATACACAGTTCTTAGTATTTTACTATTAAACACACCATATATGTGCATCTCTTTAAAAAGGTTTGCAGCAGATTTCACACATTGTGGTAAGAGATGGGGTTTTAAAATTATGGCTTTTTGAAAAAGCCATGGAGGTCTAGCTTGCACACAACATTAATCTGTAAGCCACAATTGTACCCACACAATGGCTGGGTTTATATTGTGCTAAGCTGAAACCAGACAAATGATATGATGCCTTAGCATAATGTTAAACTTGGCAAGTGTTTACCTACCACAGCCGTACATGAATTTTTCCACTTACTGTTTAGAAAAGCAGAAAAAAATTGTCGCTGAAGAAGGGGGAAATCTTCCAACAATAACTACATTGTTAAAATGTCACCACCTCTCCGGTGCATCCTACGAACCGTAGAATGAATTTGGCTCATTTATTTCTAATTTCACAACTCCAACTTTTGTCTCCCCTGTAGCTTTTCTAAATGACTCAGAGATTTCTCCCACGCTGCTAACAACCATTCTGAGGAATGCAGGAAATAC